AATTTAAAAAATAATAAAAAATTAAGAAATATAGAGTAAACTCTAGAGAGAGAGAGAGAGAGAGAGAGAGAGAGAGAGAGAGAGAGAGAGAGAGAGAGAGAGAGGGAGAGAGAGAGAGAAAGAGAGAGAGAAAGTAAACTGGGGCAAGAGTAAACGGTTTAGCTTCAAATTCAATTTATTTTTTGAAGAAAAAATAATTAATGTTTATTTTTTTTTGTTTTAAAGAGAATTTTTTACATTATAAATAATAAATATATAAAAATTAAGAAAAAATATTTCTTTAAAAAAATCGATTTACTTTACGTTTACTTTTCCTCTTATAATTGGGGAAAATTAAACTAGTTAATTTTTAATAACAATTGATTAAGATATTAAGAAAATCAAAACTAAATAAGGATATTAAGAAAATCAAGCAAAATTAATTAAAAATAAAATGAAAACTAATCTTATTAGAAGTTAAGTTTTCAAAAAACTATTTTAGTTAAGTAGGTTTGTGGCATTTTTTCATGCAAAAATTTTTTTTTTGGGTAAACACGATCGACAAACCCAAGACTTGCAACTGAAAGCTTCATATTTGTACAACATTTTGTTTTGAGTTGGCAATGCTTCTTCCTAAACTCTGCGACACTTTTTGCACCTCTTGATGTCTTTATCTTGTCTCGGTTTTTTTGAACGTTGCACTTGCTGAGTTTCATCTGAAGCATCACTGAAGTGAATTTTGCGTTTCTTTAATCGCTGGAACTTTTTGGCCTCATCGTCTTGCTTTAGTATATTGAGAAACTTAGATATACTTAGACACTGGCCCTCAACTCTTGGAATGCTGACTTCTCTGTGTTTTTTTTTGCGTGTCAATATGGTGGCGCTGTTAAACATTTTTCAAATTGCCTTTGAGTCTTTCTGTGAAGTGTTGCAACATTTGATACGTTTGAGCAGGAGTCACTGGTATTGTTGTTTAATTTTGAAGTTGGCGAATCGTTGGAGTTTGATGCTGACTGATTAAATGATATAGGCTGGGATAAAGATGATGAAGCAGACTTGGTTGAAGATGATGAAACAGGCTCAGTTGAGGATGATATAGCAGGCTCAGATAAAGATGATGAAGCAGTACTTGAAATGTTTAAGCAATTTGTAATTTTGGTTGACCAATTTAGCTACTATCAAGTGGGAACAAACTAATGTTTTGAAATCCAGCAATTATTTGTGTTTGTGTAAATGTGTCACCGGAACTAAAAAGTTTTGCTTGTAGTTGAATGAAATTTTCTTTTGTTTTTGAAATTTTTAGGTCTATAAAATTCTATTATTAACTTGCGCCAAACTTGTTTAACGTGACAATACACACCTACGTCTAACGGTTGAAGTATATGAGATGAATGAACTGGTAAGCATATCAGCCTGATGTTATTGTCAATGCAAATACGTGCAACATCGAAAATAACATGTGTAACGTGTCCGTTCAAGACTAAAATATGAATGCCTGTAATTTAAAAAAATATTTGATTAGTTGATTAACTGATTTTGGTCTTGATTTGATTAGTTGATTAACTGAGTTCGGTCTACTTAATTTAAGTAGACCAAAATAATTGCCTGGAATTAATTTGATTGCCGGTATGAATACTTTAGTGAGCCATAGAATAAATTGTTTCTCTTCCATCCAACCTGGCTTGGAAGTTGTAAGTACGGTGTTTGGTGGTCCTCCTACACACCAGTCTTTAAGACTTTATAAACTACGAATAGTGGTAGAACTAAACTAATCGGCAAAACTAAATTGATGGCAAACTAAATTGATTTGTAAACTACGAATGGGGGCAGAATGGTACCGGTAATGTTGATACAGTTACCGACTGTGTTACCGACTTAAATTATTTTTTTCCTTTTTACCAACCAATTTTAAAGGGCGTTTAGCATCGAGCCTGCAAATTATATGCTGTGTACCTTGATCGCCTGAAAATCCAATTTCGTCAAAATTTTACAAATTGTACGCATTGTTATTGTTGATATTTGCTTCAAGAAATCGTTTTTGAAGTGTATTGAAATTACTTATTATTTTGTCTTCGATACAAGAGGAAGCTCTGAAAGACGAAATTTTGCCTGCTACTCTGAAGCTTATTTTATGACTCTATTGCGATGACATTTGCGAATGTTCTGCCAAAACCCCAATCGCCTAAACTGATAAGTACTGAAACAAAAACAAATTCAAATGCTATAATTAGCACGGTAGTTGTACCTCTACCATGTGATTGTTGTGCACACGCTTGTGAAGAGTTATCTTTTGTATATTGTATGCCTCTGAAGCTTTATTAAGTGATATTTTGCCTTTTTTGATTTGTTCTACTGAACGTTGCAATTTCTCTTTATTGTAAGTTGTTAGCGCTTTACGAATGTAAGTTCGAGACATTTTGTTTTAAATTTTTTAGATAAAGAGCAAAAGCTGCCATATTTATTCGCGTTTTAAATAATTAATAGGTATTAATTAGTTTAACCACGCAAATCTTAATGCATAAGTGTGAGCAATTAGCATGTTTACTCTTTACCCCAAAAAAAACATATATATTGGTTTTTTGCTCATAACTTTTTTCCGGAACTAGCAAATTCGATCGTAATAAAATTTTTTACAAAACAGCGTTTTTTGTTTAGTAAAATTTAATTTTAGTTTTGGGAGTTTGGAAGTTTTTTTTTATGAAAATGATTTTTTTTTTTACGAGGGTGAGAATTTTTAGATTTGCTGAGGCAAAATTGAACTTTTTAAAATAATTTTTACACTTTTAGATTAAAATTTGTATTAGCATTTTATTTATGTATTTCTACAAATCTGTTACGCAATAATTTTGTATGTATATTTTTATTTTATATATGGTATAACTGAAGTAAAAACCAACAAAGGAAATGATAACATTAATAATAACAATAATAATAATATATAGGGTAAATTCGGGTAGCCGGATACTTAAGCAAAAAATAGATTGTACAAATGTACCAACAGAAAACAAAGTATCAGAAGACTTTATTAAAGGTATAAACATTTATTTATTGAATTAGAAACAAAAAAATAATTATTGTGTACTTAATACTAATAATTTTCAAAACAAAAAAAACAAAATGTTAAAAAAAGGAATGTTTCAAAATTGAAGGGTAGAACCGGATACATATTTTAACCATAAATTTACCCCTTTTTTTTACCCGTGTTACGCAAATATAATATATAAACAGTTAGCATAAGACTGTTATCAACAAAAAAATTGCCTTTAAAAATTGCCTCTGATGTATAAGGAATGGGAATAAAAATGTCGTCATTTAGAAATACAAACAAGCTTTTTAATAATAAAAATAAATATTTTAAAAACACTTTTTTCAAATCTTAGATTTTTTTTATTGAAATTAATATTATGGTTTTGTGTATTATATCAAATTTTATAAAAAGTTTTATAAAAAGTTTGCTTATTTTTAATATGTAAACGGATTAAGTTGTCCGGAACCACCCTCCAAACATGTGTTGCATACCACCCGTGAATTATGATACCACCCGTGAATTATAATACCACCCGTGAATTATGATACCATCCGTGAATTATGATACCACCCGTGAATTATGATACCACCCGTGAATTATGATACCACCTGTGAATTATGATACCAACCGTGAATTATGATACCACCCGTAAATACCATAACAGAGAATTAAAGTATTGCATAATTGATCTGAACAGTAAACATCTTTAAAGAATTTTGAGTTATTAGAGATTAGGCAGCAGAAGTTCATAGCTTAAAATGAGATTTTCACCATCTTACTCATTAAATACTATTAGTTTAAAAACTATGAACTTTAACGTTACGTTTAAAAATAATATTGTAGAGCAATTTATTATATTTAAAAATAATATTGTAGAGTAATTGTACTAAAAGAGTAATAAGCTATTTATTAATAAGTTTTTTTGTGGAAGAAACCAAGGAACAAGTCTTAAAATGTAATCAGATATTTGATGGTTATACAATATAAAAAAATAAGGCCGAGATTTTTTTTTACCTATTTTTTGATATTAAATGTATTTAAGAAGATTTTAAGAATCAATAAAAAGTTTGGTAACAAAGACGTATTTTTTTGTTTGTTTTACCAACTGGTGTTCCTTTGACCAAAATTTGTAATTTTTTTAAACATTTTTTTGCATTTTGGCAGTGACTTATACCTTAGGAACTGTTATTCACGCTATGCATAAGATTTCAAAATTTGTATCACAGAGTATCTTGATGTGTACGCTATTTTTCCATTTAAATGGAGTTCTTGGGTCAGCTAGTTTAGAATTATCAGGATTTAAGATAACCATGTATTTTGTGTTTAAAAAAGTTTATAAAGTAGCTTCACTTAATAGCTTCAAAACGTTATTAATGTAAGAAAGTTACAAGTACGTATTCATTTATGAAATCTTATCTTTTTAAAAAGTTTTCGCACAATTTTATCTAATGCTTTGGCGCAAATGTAAAGTATAACGGAGAGTTTGTTTCTTAAAATGCGTTATTTATAATGCGCAATGTAAAAGTACAATTTTACTAATTATAAATAATGTGAACAGCAGTTCACACTTCTGCACCCTGTAACGAAGCCACTGATAAAAATGCTGGTTTAGGTATTTGCAACAGTAGAGTACGCTACTTACTATCCCTAATCAGTCATTTGGTATTGGTGTATTAAGTATTGGTACCACTGTTTCAAACAGTTAATTATCTGGTTCAAACAATTTGTTTTAAACATGGAGTTATTTGTTTAAATCATTAATTCAACTTGCGCTCTACGGTTTAATTGAATAAAGGCTTAAGTTTAATTAAGTAAAGCTGATTTCAGTACCTTACTAGGTCTCTATTACTTATTACTTTGTAACTAAGAAACCAAGTACTAAATAATTAACTCGACTGATATTTCTTCTCAGACAAAATTAACTTACCAGAAAAAAAAAAAAAAAAAAAAAAAGACGAGTTTGCTCGTCAGACGAGCAAATCATCTGCTCGAAATAATTCAAAACAAATCGTGTTTAGAAAAAGATGGCCTACATCATTAAGTTAATCATTAAATTAAGTGTCTCGCGAAGCTGATTATGGTTTATGAAACAACCATCAGTATTATTGCGATTTTTACTGTGCTATTATGTTTGCTTTTATTTATTTGGATGTGTAAAGTTAACATTTTTCATGAAATTGAGTATTTAAAAAAAAATTCTAGAAGAAGGTTTTCAATGTCAGTATCAACTGAAAAAATACCTTTTTATATAGAGGAAAACTCCATTAAGCTTCACAAAGAGAATGGTTAGTTAAAGTTTAAAAAATATTATTGTAAAGTTGTCTTTTTTATGTCATAAAATTTGATTATTACAACAAAACTGACACCAAAAATTTTATTGTCATTATTTTTATTGTAACCATTTATGTATTTGTAAATACCTTTTAGTAAAATGTATTTGTTATAACATAAATGAATTTTAATAAATTCATTTCTTCTAAAATTTTACGTTTTAAAATGACACATTCTTCACTATTGACAGAATCAATCATTCTGCTCACACAAAGAATTCAATTCAAAATATTGTTATTTTATATAAAAAAACCATATCTCAAGAGATATTGAAAGAAGGTGCAGCCATTACATATTTTAAATTCTATGTTTGAATCCTTTAAATGACTGTTTTTAGAAAAACCAGTTTTGGGTTATTCCATGTCAAATCACCTAAAGGCTCCCAGGGTACTACCTCAGAATTGCTTTAAATTTTGACCACACACAGATCTTATGAAAAAAATACAATCCAGAAAATTTCAGCTTGATTGACCAATTTGTTCAAAAGTTATGATTTAATTAAAAATTACTAAAGTCCGAAATATTTTGCATACAGCAGTTTTTTTCGATTTTTGACAAACCATAACTTTTTAAATAAAGATGGTTAAATAAAGATGGTATTTTTTCGAACTTTAACGTGTTACAGTTTCATACTTACTTACAGAAAGTGGATTTTTTTGTTACCTTTTTGTACTTAGGGTCACCGCTTGTTAGAATAATCAAAATTATGCATTAAAAATTAATTTAGCACATGCAGCAGCTTATTGAAAAATCACTTTTTTAAAAAATTATGATAAATTACATTGACTTTGCTAGCATAGAAAGAGGGTAAACAGTTGAAATAAATTATGAAATTTTTTAATGTTGAGGTTCTATATAAAGACAATCACCAAAAAAATTTAAAGACCTATACTCTATCTTATGACATGATTGTAGCCTTTTGAGAGTGATGATATTTTTAAAATGAGAACAAAAAAATACCACTTACCACATACAAAATTTTTACCTTAAATTTTATACTAACTATACTGTAAAAAAGTGCATTCAAAGAGTAAGATAGTCAGTTAATAGAAAAAGTATGTAAACATGAAACTAATTAGCTTATCTCTGATATATGTAACTCATAATACTGTCATAGTCATTACTAGCAAGAATATAGTCACGAGCACTTATACTTTTAATCAATGGAACACTTATTTGACATATTATTTTGTCAAATGGAACCCAACACTGACTTGATTGTGCATCGTTTGTCCATTTTAAATTTTATTTTGTTTCTTTGCATAAACTTCACATTAATGTCTTGGTTTTCATTACAAATATCAACCACAAGCCCTACGTACCATTCTTCATCGTAAAAGCATGCAATATATTTACTGGGTTGAAAATTTAAATGATTTTTTTTTAATCAAATTAACATCATTTAACACATGAGTATCATAGACAGTATCACTAGAGATTCTTCGTAAAAACAATTTCTCTCCATCTGGTACAAAACAGTGATAGCTTCTTGTCCCCGGAACTGTGCGCATCCCTTCATATCGTTTCTGAATGTTAAAAGTTGTTTCATGGTTGTTGATATCTTCACCTGAAAGATAAAATATGTTAACACCGTTGATGTTTTTTTGAGCCCATGTAAACAGATCTTGTGTGTGAGAATCTGATTTGTAATTGTTGCTCGTAGACTAGCTTTTGCTGTTTCTCTTTTTGTAATACCTCCTATTCCATCACATGGGCTTTTGCCATGTGACGTAGCAAAGAAGTGATGCTCAGCATTTATTTGGTGATCTACAATGTGATAAATTAAGTTTATTAGACATTTGTAGTTTTTATACTGTGACACAGCACCATCACTGAAGTATTTAAAATATTCACTGTGGTAGTTTGATTTTGACCATAGGGAGCAACTTTGTGAGAAAGCAACAGACTGCTGATTGGTCATGACAAAGATGGTCAGAAATTAAATAATAGCATTCACATTTAAGGTGATCTTTTTTATCTTTGTAATAAATAACAAATGGGTGTAAGGTAGCTTGATTGGCTTGCCAGTAAAACTCTTGTATAGCATCTTGTACATGAAAACTTTAGTTTTCTGCAAAATCCATCAGAATAATGCAGGTATATTGGTCTAATGTTTGTTTTGCCTTTCATAAGTAGGAAGACTATGCTTCTTTGATAAAGTGGTGGTGACAAAGGTCATACAAAGTTTCACTTAAAGTTTCAATAAATTCACTAATGCTTGTTTGGACTGTAATAAGTGCAGTTCGGTCAGTTGACACCCATTGCTTATATGTGATCTGATAATCAAAATTAAAATCATTCTTTTCAAACACATTTTCCAAGTAAGTCTTCAAATTTATTTTACCAGGGCAGTTGGAACATAGATGAAACATGCAGTTTCGACTATCTATATTACAAACACATACTTTCATTAAATCTTTTTAATATATTAAATGGCTGTTAGGAAGAGCAGAGTACATCAACTTAGCATTTTGATGGTAAGAACATACACAAACTGAGTGGCTTCCACTACTATCAACAGTAAGGCACCACTTTGGCCTTAGTTCACAGAACTTGCTGAATCCAACTTTGTGCCCAGGGTATAACTTTTTAAATTCCAGATGAAGTTCTTTTAAACAAACTAATATTAAGCGTTTTTATGAACCTTAACATTATTTATACCCACAGAAACAAAGTCTTTTTTTCCTGGACATTGTCTAGTGTATTCGTCAGATTCATATATTTCAATGACTCTCTGCTTAACAATATCCTCCAAAGGATGTCCTTTTTTAGCCTCAGGTTTAGCAAGTATTCCCTTTTCATTTTTTAGTTTTCTGGCTTTCTTAGCAAGATTGTCTGAAACTGAAAATGCATTGCAAGTTTTTTTAATTGACCAACTATCAGGAGTTAATGTTAGTAATTGAACTTTTTCTTCAATCGAACTGATTTTTCCTTTTTCCTTTATTGCATCTAAAAGTTTGTCTAAATCATTACAGTAAATGCACTTTTGCTTTTTCTTAGATATTATTTCTTTTGGGTCTATATCTAATGCTGATGCTACTAGGTTTGTCATACTTGTTTCCAGTTTTTTAACTTTTTGCTTTCCATATTCTAATTTGTCACGTTTACTTACATTTTTAAGAGGAGATATTTCCAGTAAAGAAGCACTCTTATTTAAAACTGTCTTATTTAGGTCTGAAGAACTAAACTCCTCATCATCAACATCTTTGTCTTCATCTTCTTGACTAAATTTTCCTGTAATTTGTTCAAGTTTGAATTCATTCAAACAGTTAGTGCAAAGTTTTTGGACAGTTTGATCTTAAGTTCACTTGCTGTTAAATTATCAACTTTACACAATCCCTTAATTTTTTTCTTGTGGACTTTAAACGGATCACAGCAGTATTTTTGAAACGCTTCATATCTAAAAATATAGGCTTTTTCATGGTGAAAACATTTAGTTCAAAAGTGTGTCCAATTCTTTGAATTAAAACTTCAGCATCTGTGCTCACAATATCTTTTAGTTTTATTCTTCCAATCATTCTACAATAATACGTTTTGTCACAATCTTCATTTAAAACTTTCCCCACACAAATATTGTGTGGGGAAATTTTTACTCTGTCATTTTTTACAATTTTTTTATTTTTAATACTTATATAAAAAGTTTAAAAAAGACAAACATATTAAATCTCAAAGAAAGTAACAAATATCAGACACTGATTATAACACATATTATGTCATTATTATTAGTACAAATTAGGACATTATGTCATTAAAAAGAAAACTGAATATATTCATTCACAGATAAAAAAATATATATATACTACTGTCATCTCTATGACTAATTATTAGACTATGACCTAAGGCTTGCTCATAGTCTAATAACATACTCCTTTTGAAAATATCATCACTCTCAAAAGGCTGCAATCATGTCATAAGATAGAGTATAGATATTTCATAATTTATTTCAACTGTTTACCCTCTTTATATGCTAGAAAAGTCAATGTAATTTATCATAATTTTTTAAAAAAGTGATTTTTCAATAGGCTGCTGCATGTGCTAAATTAATTTTTAATGCATAATTTTGATTATTCTAACAAGTGGTGACCCTAAGTACAAAAAGGTAACAAAAAAATCCACTTTCTGTAAGTAAGTATGAAACTGTAACACGTTATAGTTCAAAAAAATATTTATGTTGCAATATTTAGCAACTTTAAGGTACAATAACTCAAAAACTGTCAAAAATAACTGCAGTAATGGATTATTTGGGTGAAAAACTATTACCCCACAAAATTTCAGGTGATCACCATCTTTATTTAAAAAGTTATGGCTTGTCAAAAATTGAAAAAAACTGCTGTAAGCTCCTGATACACAAATATTTCGGAATTTGGTAATTTTTAATTAAATCATAACTTTTGAATAAATTGGTCAATCAAGCTGAAATTTTCTGGATTGTATTTTTTTCATAAGATCTGTGTGTGGTCAAAGTTTAAAGCAAATCTGAGATGGTACCCTGGGGAACTTTCAAAAAACTAGGTGATTTGATATGGAATAACCCTTTTAACATTTTTTTTTTTAGGTTTTATATCCATGAGCATTTTTAGTAACTACAAGTTTTCTGTTCAAATCTGCTGCTGTGCAAACATAAATGATTTTAAAAGAGGATTAGACTCACATATTAAAAGAAAACCTATTGACTTACTCCACTTAATTTCACAGTGGGTTTCCACATCTATTGAAGTGTATCTTTTCTATGATTGCAGCGGTGAAATTAAAAGGTGTAGTTAAGTACTTTTTAATTAACTTTGTAATATTTAAAAATTTTTTTTTTAGATTGTAGACATAAAAGTTTAATTAACTCTGGCTTGTAATGTGTAAACAATTTAAACAGTTTTAAAATGTATTCTACAAAATAGAGTGTTCAATATTCTTAAAAGAACAGAGCAGTTATAAATTAGTAGAAAATCACTTAACAATAATTTTTTATTTATTTTACACTGTATTTCATCAATAAAGACTCATCAGAAAATGAGGAGTCTTTATTGATGAAATACAGTGTAAAATGAAAAAAAATTTTTTTTAAGTGATTTTCTACTAATTTATAACTAAATTATATATATATATATATATATATATATATATATATATATATATATATATATATATATATATATATATATATATATATCTACAACCCTCGAAATTAGGGTCGGCATTTGGCAATGCCGATCTAACTGCTTACCTTAATGTGTTTGAGGTTGGCAAAAAATTCCCGACCTCGATTCTATGTTTTATGGTAACCCCTTTGTATCAAATTTCTTTTGCCAACCTTATGCCGACCTCTAATAGTTTGAGGTCAGCAATAAATTGCCCACCTCATTTTTCCTAATTCTGAGGGTTGTATATAAATGTAGTGAATTAATAATAGATAATACTAAAGCCAGCATAGAAGGCTTTATTCTGCACATAAATAATATGTTGCCTAAAAATATACAATCAGATTAGTTTACACACAAACATAATAATAATTATAATTACAATAATAAGAATCAGCACATTCTACCATACTAAATAAAACATTTGTAAATAGTTCAAATATAGTCATTCAAATATTTAGTAGGATTTTGGATTCTTCCTGAACAATGATGGATGGGTTCTTTAATTGAAATTCCATTAGGATCAGTTGGAGTGCGAGAGATTGAGTTAAAAAGTTTTGAGATCTTTTGGGATGAAGGAGCTTTGATTATAAGGAGTAGTTTTACTCACAAGTGTCTTGATCTGAATGTAGAAAAAATAGCATACCCAGGCTTGGTCGGGAAGCGGGTGCGATCGCACTCGATAACTGACCACGTAAATAATATTTAGTTGCGAAAAACCGGCCAGATTTTATAGTCGTTTTAAGAACATTTAAGTTTATGTATGTTTCCTTGTTTCTCCGCAAAATAATAGGTTTCATTTTATCGTAAATTTTAAAATATTTTGTTTTATGGACTTACATAGAAACATACATAAACTTGAATGTTCTGAAACATCTTAGCACGGAAAAATAAAAAAAGAATATTCGCGAACACAAAAAACCCGCCTAAATCTACGAACAACTAATTCTAATGGTTCCAAAGATACTAACCGAAATTTCTAGAGTATTTAAAAAATACTAACTGAATGTCCTGAGTATTTTGTGGAAATATTTTAAAAAATTGTATTTTAATTTTGTTACGTTTTCGTGAGATTTCTAGCATAAATTATTTTAAGAATATACTACTAAACGAACTATTATTTTAATTCTTAGAGCCACATCTACAAAGCTATAAATGTTTTAAACTAAAATTATTTGTTTACAATAATAAATGTTTAAAATTTATATTTTTTAACTTTTCAACATTTTGTAAATATATTATAGATTTTATTAGTATATTCTTATTTTTTATATATAAGGGATGTATTTTTTATGCATGTAATGTATTTTTATGTATGTAATGTATTTTTATCTATGTAATTTTATGTATGTGTATTTTATTCAAATGTAATCTTTTAAAGCAATTTGTGCGATTGATTTTGTAAAATACTTTCAATAATAACTGGCTTTTCGATGAAATTATTAATATTCATTAAAGTTATTACAAATAATTTTAACCACTAATCCATTCTCCTCAGTGTACCCGATAACTGATTTTTTAAACTCGTTATACTTAAAGTTACTTTTTTCTGTTTTAAATACTAATTAAAATTATAAAGCCCACTCACTAAACATCATCAGCGTTATTGTGAAGCAATTTCGCTTCCTCCTCACAAAGTAATTTAACATTTTTAGTTAATTTCTATCTAGCTAATTGAATTTATAGAGTAACTCAATAATTTTAATAATTTTATTTGTTTATCTTACTAAGAAGAAATGTTTCAAATGTGTTAAACTTTTTAAACTACACAAAGCATAAAACAGTTATTGAAAAAACTTTTTTATTTATAAATAAATCATCTAGCGTTTGTTTTATTGGTTGAATCTTGTTGGACTTTTCAGGGCTGGGGCCTGCATTATTTTGGCGGCCTTTTTTATGTACCACAGCGTAAAAATGACTAAAAAAATACCGAATGGTCCTCTTGACTATTTCCCCTAACATTATGAGTCCCGGGGCTATAGCCCTACTACCCCCACCCCACCTCCTCAATCCGCAACTGGAAATAAGGCATAAGTATATAAATAAAAATTATACATACTCTGATAAATCGAAGAACATTTGTTTCTTTATAGTTGTTACTTTATATAAAAAATGTCGCTTAATTTTATAAGAAAAATTATAAAAGATCGACGTTTTAAAAATAATTGCTTTAATAAATTTATATTGCTTAAAGTTTTTTCCCATTAAAAGCTATTTTCCTTTTTTTAACTGTCTCTCATCGGTCCAGTTAATTTTATTGCGCTTTTTTGTTTGTTTTTGAAATGTTCTTAAAACGACTATAAAATCTTGGCGGTTTTTCGCAACTAAATATTATTTCCGTGGTCAATTATCGAGTGCGATCGCACCCGCTTCCCGACCAAGCCTGCATACCAAGTAAAGTAAATAGTTGAATTAAGAATTTAATTATGGTTGAAGCAGAAGTATCGTGAAACTCATCAACAATTGTTAGAAAGTTTTGGTTAACAGATGAAGATGGAACAGATCCTTTATAATCCATGTTTAGTCGTTCAAGAACTTGAGTAGATTTTATTATAGGTTAGTTAAAGTTGCTTAAAAGCAACCACTATTAAGTTAGGAGTTACTAGAAAAAAATTTATAGAGAAACAGTTGACAGAAAACTTGAAAATTTGAATGTTGTATGAGTCAGGAAAACATGAAGATGGAAGAGAGTTCAAAAGGGTTGAAGTGTGGGGTAAAAAACTTGAAGAATAAAAGTTTTTAGAGCATGCAGGGACAAATACATTAAAAGAATAAGGCTGTGCTGAATGACGTGTCAAGCGAAAAATGAGTTTTAGTTGATAGAACGAGAGAGGATAGCTCCTTTGAGCAGCGACCATGATAGTAGAGACTCAGGCTAACCAGATAGAGCGGGTCCAACTACCTTTACAATGCATTTTTGGACCTTGTCTAGAAGAGAAAGAGCATTGTTAGAAGAACCAGCCCAAATATAACAAAATTATTCCATACAGGGACAAATAAGAGATTTGTAGAAGTAGAGGATGGAATCAGGAGAGAGAAAATGGTGAGCTCAATAAAGAGAAGCAGTCTTAGCAGATGCTAATTTAGCAATCGATTGTATATATGGTTTCCATAAAAGGTCAGTATTAAAAAAATAATCCAAGAAGATGTAAAGAAGAGGACTTAGTGAAAGGGTTGCCGTTTATTAATATAGGAATGTTGACAGTATTGTGATAGTTAATTGCAGTAAATTACCGAATTTTTTTGGAGCTTAAGTTTACAAGATGCGTGAGCCCCAATATGTTGCAGAAGTGAGATCAGGTTCAAGATTGGTTGCCTGTTCTAAGCGATTGAAATGAAAAGATTTTTTGTTAAGACAGTAGTATAAAGTTGAGTCATTAGCAAAAAGAGCTACTTTAGATGTAAGGTTGTCAGGAAGATCTTTAATGTAGGTTAAAAACAAAACAGGACCAAGGGTAGAATCTTGAGGTATCCCAGAAGTTACTGGAAATAAAGAAGAGTGTTGGCCTTTGAGGATGACTTCAATAAAGCAGTTAAACAGAAACAATTTGATTATCTCAAAAACTTTCCCAGATATTTTTTTTTTTTTGTTAACATCTTCGCTTCCAACAAGGCTGCAAGCAACCACTAATTAGTGTTGAAAGTTACTGGAAGAGAAAAGATGAAGGTTGTAGAGCAAGATAACAATTGACAGATGACTTAAAAGATTGCAAATTATATGAATCAGGAAAGCAAGATGAAGGAAGTGAATTCCAAAAAACTGGTGTTCGAGGAAAAAAACTAGACAAATAAGAGTTTGGAGCACTTAGGAACAGTAACAGAAAAAGGATGAGACTTAATTGAATGACGAGTAACACGAGAATGAATTTTAGTAGATGGCACAAGAGACGCTAGCTCTTTAGAGCAGTGCCCAGAGCAGATATACCATAAGAAACAAGTTTGTGGAGAAGACTAGCACGCCAAACTTTGTCTAAAGCCTTAGATATGTCAAGAGTAATAGCTCTAGCCTCTAAAATCTTTAAGTCATAGCACTTAGCAAGTCAGCCGTAGAGCGAGAGGATCAAAAACCGTATTGATTTTCTGATAAAGTTATTTGACTCAAGATGGAATGTGAGAAATTTGTTGATCAATGACTCAAAGGCATTGCTAATAACAGAAAGAAGACTGGTTGAATGATAATTGGAGTGGTCAGAATGTTTACCAGAGAAAATTGGAACAACAGATGTCATTTTCCAGCGGGGGACATCAAAATTTTTATATCCAAGAAGGTAAATTATACCATAGCTGTACAAAGAAAATTCTTTTCATTCTTAATTTTTCTACTCTTGTTATTATTAAACATGAAAGAAACAGAACAATAATTAGTAACAAAGGTAAAGTGACAACCAACAAGGTAATGCTTCATTTTTGCAATAACTCAACAATAACATCAGCTTTCTTCTCTACAGAAGAATGTTTCTTTTCAGTAGGAGAAATTTGGGAGAAAAGAATGGAGCTAGTCTTCCAGCCTGATCGTGAGAAGCAGCTATGGCATGATCAGAGGCATCCATTTCCACTTCAAATGGAATATTTTCATCAGTAGCTTGTAGAGCTGTTTGAGAGATAAGCACTTTTATTTAATTAAAACAGTTAATAGCTTCAGCAGACAGTGAAAAGGTAGAAGCTAGAGAAAAAGGATAAACGTTGTTGGAAAAATGTTTGATATATTGGAATAGTATAAGAACATACCAAGGATTCATTTGAGGGAAGCACTTACAGTTGGAGTAGGCATTTCAATTAATGGCTTTAAACGATCTGGATCAGGAAAAAAAAAAAACTTTTTATAATATAAGCTAGGAAGTTTATACATGAAGTAGACGATACAGACTTTTCTTCATTGAATGTAAATATAGCTTTCTTAGAAGCATCGATAAATTTTTCTTTATTGAAATTATGTTCATTTTTATATATACCACATACTAGTAAGTGATCAAGGTCTGAATCAAACTCTCAGTCGATGTAGCAGCACTCCGTTGCAAGTCAGAATATAAGATATTCAATGTAGCAACACTCCGCGCATGTTTAAAAAAAATGTTTTTAAAAAACAAAAACAGTATTAGTTAAAAAACTTTCTAGTCTTTATTATTGCGGTTTTTTAGAAACAAAACTTAATGCGCTTCCAAGTGAGCATGATGATGTCATACTCACCTAACGTCAAATAGCCTGCTGCCGGAGGCTTCAGTACATATATCGACTGACAAATAGCCTGACTCGCAGTGGAGTGCTGCTACATCGACTGAGGGTTTGGTATGGGTCAGCAACCTTTTCATTCATTATTCTTCATTTTCCCTCATCGTTTTCTAAAAATGCTCACTTAAGGCTATCAAAAAAAGTGAGCAATTGCGCATATAAATATAAAATAGTATATATATATATATATATATATATATATATATATATATATATATATATATATATATATATATATATATATATATATATATATATATATATATATATATATATATGTATATATATATATATATATATATATATGTATATATATATATATATGTATATATATATATATATGTATATATATATATATGTATATATATATATATATATATATATATATATATGTATGTGTATATATATATATATATATATATATATATATATATATATATATATATATATATATATATAAATATTATTACCATCAGTAAGTACTGATTTACTAGTTTATATATATATAGTGGGGTGCAAAAAAAAAGCCACTCAATTTCTTTATAAAAACAACAACAACAAATGTCTAAAACTCATATAATGTTACTTCTATTACAGCCAATATTGATAAAAATGTTTATAGTATAGTTGTATATTACATATAATAAAAAGAAATTAGGATTTGTAAAGTATTTTTTAGGTTAAAGCTGTTTTAGTATTTAATTGGCCATCCTTTGTTTCTTATGACTTCTGCACATCTAGAAGGCATACTATCTACAAGTCTTTTTAATAAGTCATTTGGCAAAGCATTCCAACCATCAAGAAGAATTTGGAACAGATCATCTTTATTTGTTGCCCTACGATCTTTTAATTTTTTATCCAAAATAGATCAAAGGTTTTCTATTGGATTTAAATCAGGAGACTGTGCTGGCCAAGACATAACTGGAATCAATTTAGATTCTAGATATCTTTTATTCAACCGTGCTGTATGTTTGGGATCATTATCCTGTTGAAAGATATATTCACTATTAGGAAAAAGTTCTTTTATACTTGGTCCAAGCTGGTTAACTAAGATTTTGTGATACAAATGCTGGTCCATAATTCCCTTCACCCGGTAAAGTTTTCCAACTTCGTGTGCACTATAACAACCACAGACATTAATCTTTTTGTCATGTTTAATAGTTGCCTTGCACGTTTGAGGATTGAATTTTTCCCCAATTAATTTCCAACAGTGAGATCGACCATTATAATACAAAGCAAATGGAGACTCATCGCTCCAGATAACGTTAGCCCATTGTTCACATGTCCAATTTTTGTGCTCAATGCACCACTTTGCACGCTTTTTTTGATTGATTTCACCAACAAAAGGTTTTTTAATTTGTTTTCCAGAAAAAAAATGACTTGATGCTTTAATCCTGCGAGATATTGTCCACTTTGAGATATTAGTAAGGTTCAAATCTAGTTTTATCTCAGAACGAGTGATTTTACGATTTTTTTTGACAGCATTAAGAATGTAGCAATCTTCCTTTTTTGAAGTTTTCGGTTTTCTCCCAGATCCAACAGCCCTTTCAGTTTTACCAGTGTGTTTGTATTTTTTTACCAATCTACTAATAATCGAGTTTTCTCCTTTAAAACGCTTTCCAATACTTCTGTTAGACTCTCCTTGGTCAGCAGATTTAATAATTTGTCCAGTTTCTACATCTGTAAGATGTTTTCTAAAATATTAAATGTGTCTATAATAATCTGTTTTTTAAAGATTTTATTTATATAAATATTAGTTTATATATAAACATTCCTATATTTTTCACTGCCACATCCAATATATATATATATATATATATATATATATATATATATATATATATATATATATATATATATATATATATATATATATATATACATATATATATATATATATATATATATATATATATATATATATATATATATATATATATATATATATATATATATATATATATATATATATATATATATAAAGGTGCAAAAACGCATTGTAAACATAGTTGGACCTGCTCTTGCAGCCAACCTTCAACCTCTGTCACATCGTCGTAATGTTGCTTCTCTTTCTCTTTTCTACAAATACTATAATGGGCACTGCTCTAAAGAGCTAGCGTCTCTTGTGCCATCTACTAAAATTCATTCTCGTGTTACTCGTCATTCAGTTAAGTCTCATCCTTTTTCTGTTACTGTTCCTAAGTGCTCCAAAAACTTTTATTCGTCTAGTTTTTTTCCTCGAACATCAGTTCTTTGGAATTTGCTTCCTTCATCTTGCTTTCCTGATTCATATAATTTGCAATATTTTAAGTCGTCTGTCAATCGTTATCTTGCTCTACAATCTTCATCTTTTCTCTTCCAGTAACTTCCAACACTAATTAGTGGTTACTTGCAACCTTGTTGGAAGCGAAGATAATTAAAAATATATATATATATATATAAATATATATATATATATATATATATATATATATATATATATATATATATATATATATATATATATATATATATATATATATATATAATATATATAATATATATATATATATATATATATATATATATATTAGTAATTCAGTATAAGTATTGAATTACTATCTTTTTTTTTTAATATTTATTTTTATTAACCAATTGAAAAGAATATGTTATACCTTAAATTTACAATAAATAATAGGCATATTAATTAATTTATCATTTAGTAATAGGTATATAGAGTAATGTTGCTTCATATTATTAAGAATAGTATTTTAACTTAACTTTTTATAGATCTGATAATTTTTTTCAGTTTAATAAAAATGAAATATCTGATGATGCTGTGAAAGAAACTCTACAAAAAGTTTTAAATAAAGAAATTAACTACTTGGTTCCCTATGTTGTTCATATAGCTTCATATGGTGAAGGAAGCCAAATAGTAAAGTATTTACTAATAATAATCTCTTTTCATAATTTTTATGTCCAGATGCAAGTAGTGATACAAGTAGAAATGTAAATTTTAGTCTTTTAACTCTAAATAAAAATATGTTTTTGCTAATTGTTTTGCATAATGAGTTTGTCAGAGACAATATGGTACAAAATAAACTTGTTAAGACATTTTTATTTATTTATGAGTTTCATTATAATAAAGTTTAAATTTAATTGAGAATTTGTTATTTCAATGAAACTGTTTGATTAGATAAAGTAAATATAATAAAAAATATTTAGGATTGTATATGTTGCAACAATTAGTTGCAATTATTGTTGCGACAACTACAATTAAGTTTTAAATAGTAAAGATGTTAACCATCTTCCAAAACCAAGAACTATGTTGACCTGTGTATTTGTTGTATAAATCATTGTTATATATGACACAGTGGTTAGCCATCACATTAGGATCATACATTTTTTGTTTACAATTCATATCAAATAGATAGCTTAAGTTCATATATGATAAAATAAATATGACATTAATTTTTGTTACTTGTCAAGTCATTTCTATTCTTAGTGAAGTTTAATGAAAATTTAATTAATTGGCAATTCTGACTATCAGTAAGCACCTTTCATTGTCAATACTTTGCTTTTTGGATAATTTGAACATAATTTTGTTTGCTAGTTTGATTGTAGTTTTAATGTGATTTATTTTAATTCAAAGCTCAAGTGTTTTATTTCGTTTTTTTTTTTTTGTGAAATCAAAGATAATTAATAGCTAGTAGTAATCTTTATGTATAAGATTTTATTATTATTTTTTTTTATATATATTTATGTAAAGATTAAATTCTCCCTTTTTTTGAAGTTTTTAATTTAAATTTTTCAGCAATTTGGAAGAAATAGGGCAACCAATTAAGTGCAAATTTCATAGCGGCAAATCTGCATAAGTGCAAACTGTTGTAAGTGCCAACTTGCATAAATGCAAAGCAGTTGCAAAAACTGGCATAATTGTGAGTTGGCATAAGTGCAAAGCAGTTGCAAAAACTGACATAAGTGCAAACTGTTATATAAGCCAACTGGCATAAGTGCCATTGTCACCTTTGCTACTTCTCTGAACACTGGTTAGATTGGCCTTCTTTAACTCACATGTTGGTGACAATATCAAGAAGGAGATGGTTAAAACATATAATATTAGCCAATGAAGAAGGTTCTCAAGTGACTAGATGTTGCAAAGTTTAACCATCAAAGTCCTTTATTTAATTTTGTCACATACTGCTTGGTGGAACTCTTTGATTTCCTGTTCAACAGTAGTAAAAAGAAGGCACAGTCATTCCTTTCAAAAGAAACACAAGAATTTTCAAAAGATCCAGTTTATATTGAAATGCAACATAAGGTTTGTCAAATAAAGTTTGTTAATGGAAGTGTCGAGAAAGGCATAGCTCTAATCACAGCATATAATTTTATGATAACAAAAAATGACCATAAAACATTTCCTTCTTTGAATAGTGGATGAGCACCGGAAAGAATTTCATCGTGTATTCAAAACTGCTCTAATAATGATGAGGCTGACTACTCCAAAGTAATACAAACACTTATAGAAACAAAATGAACATTATATATACTGTTAAATAACATTTCTAAACTACAAAATAAATTTTGTTACAGTTGATAACATTGGTAAAAAAAAAAAAATTTTCAATTTTTCGACTATGAGATCAATTAAGTCACAAAACATTGCAACCCTTAAATATCATTCGATTTGCATAAAATTTAGTCCCCAAATTACTTTTGTCATACAAATATCAAAAAATCACAAAAAAAGTGTATAATATATATATATATATATATATATATATATATATATATATATATATATATATATATATATATATATATATATATATATATATATATATATATATATATATATATATATATATATATATATATATATATATATATATATATATATATATATACAATGAAGATGAGAAAAAGAAAATTATGATTTAGTTGCTAATGAAATAGATCACCAATAGGAAAAGTAAGATGAGTATAAAAAAAAAATTCACCCTTTTACTATATTTGACCCTATTTTAAAGATTTTTAATCTTCTTCCCATGTCTATTAACATTTTCTACAAAACTAATTTTGGCCTAAGTTTAAGTTATTCCTGAATGCTGTGCTATGGTTGGAATTTTATTTGTTCACTGAGTAGCTAAGTATTGAGACTTTGGCCATGGGCTGTATTATACAAAGATGCTTTAAAGTTAACATTGTGATGCAGTCATGAGATCTAAAGAATTTCAATGTGAATGAGTGATTTAGGTTGTAGAAATTCTAAAATAAAAATTTTCTTTATTCAAAACCTATAGTTTTTGACTAACCAAGCTTTGGAAAACCATCAAAACGATCTATAAGTTTTTATTCAATTTTTTTTTGCTATGAAAAAAAATTTTTTTTTCCCCCATAATGTAAATGGATTTTTAATTTCTAATAGCTTGAAGACAAAATAAAATTTTATCTATTAATAAAAGTATCATGTCTTCGTGTTTGTCATAATCATCAATACCATAGTTGTAAACATTTTGGTCAGCAGCAGAATCAGCATTCTCCCACTTTGTTCAGTTACACTTATCTGAACACTTTAAAGTTGATAACCATTGTTTATAAACAAACAATGGTTAGTTTCACAATCAGCTGTAAAGTTACACTTTACAAAATTCAGTACACTTTCTAACATTAGTCAGGGTTAGTGCTAGATTCATAAACCATTTAACAGCCACTCCTGTTTCACTAATTAACCTAAATTATGCATGCTATGCATGCACAGATTCGTAAACTGAATTGATATTTTGATCAAACTTTCTTACTACTTCAGAAACACTATACTTATGTGTAACAAATTTTATTTAAAAAAAGTGCCTCAGTAACAATTTTATGACTTCATAAAGTATTACTAAAATATTATCCAGCAAACATTGATACAGGTACAGTTTGGGTCGTTAACTGGGACTAATTTGAGATGCCCTCCGGCAATCTTCCTAATTTTGACTGGTTTCCATCTAGGGTTCATATAGGTTAGCCTGCTGGGTATTCTGCATGGATCTCTATATCTTACTATAAAACTCTATGGATCCCATATAGATTTGCAACTAAAGTTTATATGAAAACTTTCCTGAAACCTGTGGGATTTTGGCTGTGATGCGGAATCATAAGGTTTAATTCGTATGAGAACATGCGGAATTATAAGGTTTAATTTGTACGTATTGCATAACTACTTTTAAATTATAAAATATATAAAAAAGAAGTTTTATAATTTCATTTGCTAGGACTGATACATGTATGCAAAAATGATAATAATGAATGATGAAGATGGATGTACAACCACCTGTTCTTTCAAATTATTTGAAAGAACAGTTATAAACTCACGTGTAACAGTAATAATTATAAAAAGAACCAACACATATTATATTACTTACATATTACTGAAAATTTGTATAATATAAAAAAGCAAAAAAATACTTGGACAATATTAAATATATTTTTTCCAAGTATTTTTTTGCTTTTTTATATTATACAAATTTCCAGTAATATGTAAGTAATATAATATGTGTTGGTTCTTTTTATAATTATTACTGTTACACGTGAGTTTATAACTGTTACTTTTTCTGCTAGACTTTCTAGCTCTAGATGTTATGTGTTGTTGATGAAGCAGATCTCCTTTTGTAATTGGCATCAGATTACTTTGTTCTTTTTTTGTGATTTTTTGATAATATTTTAAATAATAAGATGGACAATGAGTGCTTCCTGCAAGCGTAACTATATATTTCATGTTATATTTGGTCTTAAATTTATATTTGATATTAAAGATTTTGATGATGATGAAACAATGTTTCCAATGAAATTAAGAGAACTCTCTGCACCATTTTTTCCTTGTACTAGCAATTTGGTACTTTGTAAACATAAATTTGTATTCATTTTTTTTTTGTAAAATATTTCAATACGCTGATGATTCCACTTAAATTAACGAGACAGTACAAAGTTTGGCACTCAGCTGACATTTTGTTTATCGAATTCAAAAACATTGTCGATGTGTTATTTATGGAATATAATTTTAAAGAGTTTTTTCAGTTTATATCTTTATTTATGGTGTTCTGTAAAATACACAAACATTTAATCGGTTAGAAAAAAATTTGGTGTAAAGGAATTGAAACACACAATAAATTTGAAAATTAATAATTTAAAAAAGCTATATTAGGGTGTCCCAAAAAACAATTTTTTTTTAAAATAATCTGCTCTCACCCCCTAAATGTGTTCTATCTAATACAAAAACACTAAGTTTACATTTTTTTTTAATAAAAAATAATTTAAAGGGTCCCTCAAGACCCTGGAATATTTAATGAGTCCCTAATATTTTCAAAAAAAAAAAGTTTTTAAAAATTATGTCAACCTGGTACTCAAATGAACCAAAATTATATAAAAATTTCAAAAATAATGTTCATTTCGAAAAAAACGATAAGTAACGATATTTCCCTTAAAATATACAATATTAGCCAAAACAAAAAACAATTTTCTGTAATAAAATCGCCGATTTCGTTAAAAAAAAAGTATCGTTTAAGTACGTATCATTTTTTTTGAAATGAACATTATTTTTGAAAACTTTTTTTTTTAAATATTAGGGACCCATTAAATATTCGAGGGTCTTGAGGGACCCTTTAAATTATTTTTTATTGAAAAAAAATTTAAACTTAGTGTTTTTGTATTAGATAGAACACATTTAGGGGGTGAGAGCAGATTACTTTTAGTTGTTTTTTGGGACACCCTAAGCTATATCTTAAAAATTGCGCATTTACAAGTTAAGAAATTTTAGCCATCAATTTATTATGCCTTAAAACGCCTAATAATTGTTTAAATCGTTAGAACTCATGACTGCACTACAAAACTGAAGGAAACAGTTAAATGGTCTGTGGTCTTCCATTTTATTAATATCTTTGCAGTTCTTTTTAATTTTGAAAATTCTTTTTAAGCAAAGAAAAGAGAAAAACAACTCTTGTCAGCATTTTTGAGAGAAAAAGGTTTTTCTTTTTGTTTTTTTTTTTTTGTGTGAATTTTTTATATAAGTTCTAGTTTATTGTGTTTAGATCTCTCTGACATCCTTTATAGCATCGGGTCTTTTAAATCATACACTAGAAATTCAGGAGCAATTTATTGAAGTTATTGATGGCAGAGTTTTAAGCTTGAAGGTACTGTTTTTAATCTTTAGTTAAATTTTTTTTTGTTTATTCTATAAGACAATAGTTTTTCTTTAAATCAGTTCCCTGAAGTTTTAAATTTTGAAAAGGATGTAGGATTTAGTTACAAAAGGATTCAAGTTTTAGCAATATAAATATGCAGACTTTTATTTACAAAAGGGGTAGCTTTTAACAAAAAAAATAGGCAGTTTTTATCAATATATTTTAGCAAAAGAAAATTTTGGCTTAAATAGACAATAGATACAAGCAATATTTGGTATTGATTTGCTTCAACTTGGAGTAGATAGTTGTAAGAAAATAAGCTTTAACTCAAAAATAAAAATACATTAACAAGTTGCTATATTATTTGAAAAATAAATTTGAAACATCTACATAAATAAACTGCTTTAAAGATGCCATTTTTTGTAGAATTACAAAGAAGTGTATCATTACAATAAGTAAACATAAACAAACCTATAACTTTTCAGAAAAACAACGTTGAGCGCAGTACTACCAGGAGCATGGTGGAAATACAACCCAGAAATTCTCGCCTATGAGGCGTGCGCTCTACCAATACACCACTACCACATTAATTCTAAGTGGTGTCAATATTTTAAGTGGTGTCAATATTTTAAGTGATGTCAATATTTTAGGTGATTTTAATATTTTAGGTGATTTCAATATATATATAGTAGATTGATTTTGTTTAGAATCTAGGATCTGTCTTGAAACTCTTTGATATTGAAGATAATGACACCAATGGTCAAGTTGAAAGTTGAGATTTTATCATAATGTTAAAAAAATAACAAGTTTTAGTTCAAAAAAACTTTTAAAATTTGCAAAATTAACCGAGAGAGATTATTTATTAACATCATTTTCAATAAAAATGATGTAAGTAATTCAAATTAAAAAACTTTTAAAATATAAAAACACAAAAATAGAAAGGGCAAGATAAACCATATAGAAATAATATACATTTTTGTGACAAAAAGTTTCATCTCACATAATATTGTTTAACAACGCTGAATTATTTTAAAAAAAATTCATTCTAATGAGCTCATTGCTACACTAACAAAAAAAAAATTAAAGTTTATAGTTACTACATCAAAAGGAAAACAACTACTTGGTATTGGGATAATATTGTCTGTTATCAGCTTACTAAATCAAATGTATTAAACAGCTGAATCAAGATCCCTCTAGTAGTTAATGTTGTCAAGGAAACAATATACCTAAGAAAATGTTTTAAATGAAAATTCAAGAAAAAATGAGAAAGAGAACAAAAAAAATAATCATAAAAATCGAACAGTTCAATTGATAATTATATAATACTTAATAAAAATAAAGGCAGAGGTATTCTGCAGTATAACCCTAAGGACTCAGTTGAATGCTCAGTGGCTGGATAGCTTAGTTGGTTAGAGCGTGGAACAAAAAGTTTAAACCCGGACAGTTGTAAGATATGAGTTCAAATCCTGCCACCGCCAACTCAGCGCTTGAGCAGTACTTCGGCACGCAAAAATGTTGGTCAATGACGGACGCTACTTTGGATTAGTCTTAATGACTATTTGTGGCTGTTCCTATGCTAAGCCAACAATATCTTCCGATATAAGAACATTGTATAGAAATATATAGCATGAAAAATCAAATAAATTCAAATAAAAAAAATAAATAAAAGATACGGGTTTGTAGTCTCTGATACTTACTAATACTTACAATATTATAATTTTTTAGAGAAATTGCAAAAAAAAAAAAGTAGAAACCCTTTATATAGAAAATCTATATATAAGTAGTGATTTTTAAAATAGGCTAAGCCTGTTATTGCTTTAGTTTAGTTGAGCGTTATTGTTTATTTGTTTAGTTAGGTGTTATTGGTTTAGTTAAGTGTGTTACAACATGTGTTTTAAATGTCTATAATATGTATTATTATGTTTTACTACATGTTTTATACGTTTTAAATACGTCTTGTGCCCAATGGGCACCCAATTGTTATTTCGTTCAGCATATTCAAAAACTCTTCTTCTGTCACAGTTAAGTAAAAATGTAATGTTTTCTTTCAACTTGTTTGGTTGTATGTCCATGCCAATAAATTGGACAAGTTCAAAAAGTAGATGTAAACAAATTTGGTTAGACTAATGTTGACACAGGTTTAACCTAATAACAGGCTTTTGGGTCATAGTGTATTGGCATATAATATAACGATCTTTCAATTCCATTATTATTACTGGTACATACAACTGCTAAATTTGAAAATATTAACTTAGTTAAATTCATATCTAAGAAGATCTTTTATAAAAACCTATAAGCTTACATTGTGCTTTTTCAATTATAATTTATGTATTCTAAATTATTGTTAAATTATTAAATTATTGTTTTTTTTAATTACATATTACGATTTCTTAATTTAAACTTATGTTCTCAATTACATCTTGAAAAAAGTTTGGTACAACCCTACTTTATCTGCACTTTATGTATTTAATCTAATTTTTGATATAATATTGTAATGTAATTTACATTCATACTAAAACAATGTAAATAAAAATATAATTTTTTTTTTTTTTTGCTAATTAAACATAAATCACTAAAGTTTATAATATTCATTATTCGCTGCTTTTTTGTTTTAGAAATTGTTCAACTCTGGTATTCCCGATAACACACTAGCACTCCAGGAACCTATTGAAGCCTGTGTAATATGTCATTCTAATCCAGTTACTCGTGCCTTAGTCCCGTGCAGACATTCTTGTGTTTGTAAAACTTGTTTTTATAAGATTCAAGTATGCCCTGTTTGTAGGATCACAATTGAATCGTCTCTTCAAGTAAGGGATGAATCAGATATTCCATTATCGAATGAAGAACAACAAGGACAAATCAGCTCAAGTATTAGTAGCATGGGAGTTTGGAATTTTATAAAAGCTGTGTGGAATGCAAGTTAATTGAGAGTAAAGTTTGAACTAATTGTGGTATTGTTTAATTCATTATAAAATTTAGTTTTTCTAGCATATTTTCATGTTTATATTATATTTCATCAGCTTTAAGAAAATCAATCTTCATGTAAAACATTTTAAATAACTCAAAATATTTCTACATTGTTTTAGAATCTAATTTAACGATGTTTTGTCGAGATCTCGTTAATATCTCATAACGTTAACATATATAAAATCAGACGATGAAAAGATGACTATATTTGGCAAAGTAGCGTAAAATTCCCTGGATCACTTAATGTTGTTGAAATAATATGGTCTGTTGCTTGTGAACTTATTAAAATTTTATTTATTCAAATATAATTTTTAGGATTTATATCAAAATTAATTAAAATAAATTCAATAAAGTTAAAGCTTAAATTATTTGATCCTCCTAAAAATTTAATACAGTTTGAGCCTTTTAATTGTATTATATATATATATATATATATATATATATATATATATATATATATATATATATATATATATATATATATATATATATATATATACTAGCGAGTAGGAGTCATGTGAAGGGGGGTGTAAAAAAGAGATTGTTTAAAGCATATTTTCAAAAATTAAGCTTTTGAATTAATTTTTTTTTATTAATGTGAGGAAGAACTTTTCGGTGGTGTTCTACTGCACGTAAAAGAAATTCTTTCTGCTCATCATATTTTGTAATAGATGTTGTATAGTCTTAAATTAGTCTAACAGCTCGTTCTGCTGTATCTTTTACAGATTTTAGTGATTTGATATGCTCAAACATGTGATTAAAATTTGTGTTAGCTTTTTGTGTTAGTATTTTACCAACCAACCACCGTCCTCATTTGAATATCCGAATAAATTTAGAATGTTACTTGATTGTAGTCCAATTAAATCAGTCAAACAAGTACTCTGCTTCAGAAGAGGAAATTGTGGAAAGCCTATATCATGTTCACAGTTTTCTTTTATATTGTTCACAATTGTTTTAGCAATTTTAGTTTTATTTCGATCAGATACCTTATCAGAAAATAATGAAATAGGGGACATTTCTTTGGTTAAATACCAAAGATGCTGATTAAATGTTTCAGGGCAGCAACAGCAACATCATTGTCAATTTTTTTTATAAATAAGCATTTCTTTGTAGAATTCCAAATTATTAAATTGGGCATCGACTGTGCTTGTGCATGTAAGCCATATTTTAATATAAAATAGTAAAGTAAATTTACAAAACCGTGACAATTTCTCTATAAAACTTTCTTCATATTCTGCCAGTTCAGCAAAAGCAAACATCTTTGATGTGTGCATGATGGAAGGCTCCAGGTTTGTGCCATTGTAGATTTATTTGTTTTGGATTGAGTAATTGCAAAGCAAGTTGACAACATTCTCGATAATCATTTCTTAATATTTTTCGAGAATTCCAGTTAAGTAAACCAGACAAAAAAATTATTTCTTTTGCTTGTTTTGTCTTTAATACTGGTTCTTCGATTTTTATTTTTCTAAAAGTAGTATCTGAAGTTAATGAAAGCTTAGGCCATACCTCATTTTTAAAGTGTCTAAATGGCTCATAGTTTGGAAATCTACATTCTCCAAAAACATCTAAGAAAACAGAAGACAAAACTCTTTCAAAAATATGGTGTGGGCAGGCGCACAAAAGCAACTTTTTGTTAAAGTGTTCTTCACTTAACTTCGCAGAATCATTTATCCAACCTGAATTTGATGGAGTTGTGTCAAAAATCATTGTTACAAGTGTTTTTTCTAGTTTCCGTGTCTTTACAGCATCTATGGTAGCTGTTGCTTGACTTCGCCCAGTTGTATCAGGAATCCTGGATACACACAACAATTTTCCTTCAGGTCCACTTAGTTTTCCTGTTACAACAATAGCCAAACGTTCCACTTTACCATCGACCTCAGATACCAGCTTTGAATGCCAGTGAATGGAAGAGTACATGAGTGAAATGAATGTATTCTTAAGATTATCTGTCGAATTTTATTACCTGATCTGTTCGCTGTGCTTTTTGAGATGGATGTTTCATCTAAATTGTGACCTAATGCTTCAGCTACAGCTAAAATGATTCCAGATCTTTCTCTGTTGGATAGATTCAACCTATCAGCCATTAAGGAAACTTTAGGGTTTTCTAATATCTTGATTTTTTTTTTCTGTCTAGCAATAGTACTTTCTTCATTTTTGTTATAAGTTTTGTCTTCATTATCAAATGCAGCCAATACATTGAAACTTTTTTCTTTTATATTTTCCTTTCTAGACTTCTCTTTTTCAATAGCATTGATTTTATGTTTCTCTTTTTCCTCTTTCTTTTCACTTTCATAGCATAACTCTTTTCTAATGGGCCCAAAAATTGCTTTTTTAAGTGACGCTGATCTGAGAAAAAGTCTATATCTGAGATATGACTATTGATACTATGCGAGGTATCTTTTCTTATTAAATTTTCTGTATTTGATGCTGCAATATTAAATAACAATGATAGTTTATTAGTAAAACTCAGAAGTTGAGCGGCATAACATTTTTTTTTTTTTGCATTTTCAATCAAGTTCTCTCTAAGATAAATCAGATGTAGTATCATTCTGACAATATCTTTCTTCTGTTTTTGGAATTCCTGCCATTTTTTCCAAAAAACATCAACTTTTTCCCAAACTACAGATGCAACTTCTTTTTTACCAGTTAATTTCAATTCAAATCTTTTAAAATAAAGATAATGGCGTACAACATCTCCATTTGTTGGTAGTTGACTATACATCTTCGCTTCAAGGGTAGGTAATAATTTACCAACAATATTATCAAACTTCTCATCATTTTTCCTCAATTTACTGTTGCTCATAACTGATTAATTATTTTTTATATATGCTATTATATCTATAGATAAAAAAGTAGCTATAAATTATAAAATTATTTGAATAATGTATGTAACATTAATATTCATCATAAAAAATTTTCTCATCTCAAACATAATATTATTTAATAATTTTTGAGAATCATTGAATTAAAACAAATTATATTTACTAATATTAGCTATGATACATAGTTTAGAATTATAATAGTGATCAATATTGATACAAAACATATTTAATTGCAATAATACATTTTTATATTTAGCCTAAAATATTTTTGAAAAAGTGGGCGACAGAGGGAGTAAAAACTTTAAAAGAAGAGGGGGGGGGGTCAAACTTCAAAATTTTTCAAAAATCTTCTTATTTTCACTTTTAACGGACAAAACTACACACAAAACTAAAGTAAAATTTTTTTTTTATTGGGACACCCTTATATATATATATATATATATATATATATATATATATATATATATATATATATATATATATATATATATATATATATATATATATATATATATATATATATATATATATATATATATATAAATTCTTCGTCGACATCGGTCCCAAACTAGCAAACAAAGCTCAACTTTATTTCTCATTTATTTATACTTTTTTAAATTATGCTAATGTTGCATGGCAAAGCAATAAAAAATGTTATAATGCCGTTATCGCAGTCAGAAACATGCGAATCATTAAATATATTTTGCGGATTGATGTACTCATTCCAAACCATTTTTTATTGAAATGAAAGTTCTCAATATTTATGAGTTTTTTGTTTTTAATGTTTTATACCTAATGTCTATGTGGAAAAATAACATATTTTTACCCATCTTTAAAGATCTTTTTAGTTTAAAATCAATAAATAAATACGCTTTGTGTAGAAATAAATACACTTAGAAATAATAATATTAAACATTTTATCGAACCATAAATGTATAAAATACCATGCACATTATCTTTAGAATAAATTTGTTTTGTCTAATCTCCATATGTCTTTAATTTTCCTATTTTCAAATATAAATTGAAAAAATTAATTATCTTAATGGATGACGTAATTAGATATTTTTAATTAAAACTATATATTTTGTTTAAAACTTTTATTGTAAATTATATTTTATTTTGTTGATTATGTATTGATGTATTTTATATACACACGCTTGTAAAAACTTCTGATGAAAAGATTAGTAAGGTCTTCTTTCAGAAAGTAATTTATTTATTACTATAACAACAAATTTAAACTATATATATGTATGTATATATATATATATATATATATATATATATATATATATATATATATATATATATATATATATATATATATATATATATATATATATATAGTATATATATATATATATATATATATATATATATATATATATATATATATATATATATATATATATATATGTATATATATATATATATATATATATATATATATATATATATATATATATATATATATATATATATATATATATATATATATATATTTATATATAATACAGCGTGGGAAAATAACCTCAGCATATGCCATGGTTTTTGCCGAGGTTTTTGTAGTATTTTGATAAATTTCCGAAAAATGATAAGTTTTTTGAAAATATTAAAATATTTAATTTTTACAACATTCGTACCCATCAAAACGACGTCTTATTAAACACATGAACCTAAATAACCAACAGCATTTGGTAAATGATGTTATACCTGATTTTTTATATCTTTACTTTCCTCTTCACTTTTGTTGCAATTAAAAAACGTTATTTGAAATCAAATCAATATATTTTCACTTTAAGAATAACTGTATATATATATACAATCGTGCGAGACATTTACCCGGTGGGAAATTAGTTAGCACTAGCTAGCGATATTCGTAACAATTAAGACAGCCATTTGGCGACGAGTATTGTCAGCTATATAAGCTAGTAACTAGATAGCTGTTTAAGCTAGCGACCAGCTGGTTATATAAGCTAACGACTAGCTTATATATTACTAGGTTATATAAGCTAACAACAACTTGTAACGATAAAGACAGCAATTTGGCCTAGCGGACTGCTAACTATTATCTAGCGACCAATCATAACAATAAAAATAAATATTTAGCTAGAAGAATTTGTAAGATTATGTATGATATAGTATTACATTTTAATAAGCATTTAAATAAAATTACTTTTATAATTTTAATAGAAATTTTTAATTAAAAAATATCCACGAGACTGCATAAAATCAAATTTTATGCAGTCTCGTGGATATTTTTTAATTATACTGCATAAAATGAAATTTTAAAAATTGGATATTTTTTGTAGATATTTTTTAATTTTACTGCATAAAATGAAATTTTAAAAATTTTGTTATTATTTAAAAACTTTTTAAATAATAACAAAATACATTTTGTGAATATTCATTTTTAACTTTTTTACTTCCTTCTACTCTTAAAATACATTGCAAAAAAGTTAAAACAAATACAAAACTGTTTATAACAAGCATCAGCATGATAGTTATATAAAATGTTAACCGGAATCAATACAGGAGT